TTAGAAGAAAGAATTTTTTTTTATAATTCATTAAAATTTATATTTTACTTGAAAGATTTGTAGTGGTTCAGATTTTTTTTTCTTTTATATAATGCCCTTTATCCTAAATTATAGAATTGTTCTAGTTTAGTCATTTGAACTGAAAGAATAAATAAATTTATTTGCTAGTTAGAAGGAAGAATTTTTTTTATAATTCATTAAAAGTTATATTTTATTTGAAAGAGATTTTTTTTTTTACTACCTAAATTGTGTTTCCTTGGTATACATGTTCTGATTTTCTTTTAGATTGTAAGGTGTATTTATTGAATTTCATTTAAGCTAGTATATAAACTTTAGTATCGTGTTATGGTTTTATGCTTTGAACATATTTCAATTTAGTTACTTAATAGTTAGGCGAATATTTCTTTATTAAACAGATAATATTTAATTAATTAACCATTTGTTTGTTTGATAATTTTTAATGTATTTTCAGAACGAAAGAGAAGGTCAAAGTTCAAGTATTAGAAGAGTATGAACCATAATTAATTGGCAGTTATATCGTTGAAGTGTTCATTTGAAATTGTTGCGATGTTTTCTTAATAATTTAAATTTTTTTCTCCTTTTTTTAAACAAATAAAATATGTGATCAATCTGACTTCTATTTCATTTCTAATATACAAGAATTAATAATTTCTTATTTTATAATATCATATCATATGAGTAGCTCCATAACAAGGATGGACGTCTGTCATTTTCATAAAGTGGGAAAAAGCCTATTTTTACTTTAGTATTTTTTTTACTTTAGTATTATTTACTTAAGTATTATTATATTTACTTTAGTATTATTATCTTGCCGTTTATTATTTTTATTTATTGTATGGTATGAATGAGCTACTCTATATCACTATTACTATTGCCCTTGAATGTGACAGATTGTAACATTTCAATAAAGAAGTTAAAAAAAAAAAAAAAAAGCTTCAATGTAAACCAATTCTAATAATTTTTCTTCATGATTCAGTTTGAACATTCTTAAATAAAATCATCAGAAACAGTTTGAGTTGAACCTATGATCCAAAATTAACTTTTTTTTTCACTTTTTGAAAATGACAGATGTTCTTCATTGATATGAGGCCACTTCTACGAGTGTAATTATAATTGAGGATGAATTTGTTGTGGAAGAATCATTAACACAATTGGGTATATAAGATGAATTATGTATGGAGTAAAATAACAAATTGTAAAAAAGATTAGTAACTTACTCACTATTAATATGCCTTATGATTCATAGACCTTGAAACAAAAATCTAGTATTTTATTAAGTATATAGAAGTCATACTAGTAATAATAAATACAATTAACTTAAATAAGTCTTCTTTGATCTGATGTCATTTACATTTTATGAAAATTGGCCATACAGATGTTGGGAATTTAAATTCTAAGATCGTTGTTTTTATTTAAATTTTCTGTGAGCTATGAAGTGTAATAAAAATAATTCATGTTTCTTAATCAATTCTTTCCAAATATGAACTGTTTAATATCCAAACTATAGTGTTGTTATATTTTCATTTACTGTTGCTGAAATATCAGCTTCCTAATGATTTTTTGATTCTGAATATTACTTCATACCTGTCTAGTAGTTTTTCGACACAACAGATTGAGAAAATCAGATTCTTAACTTATAATTATAAATTCCGTAACTTACGTACTTCAACTTATATTTCTGCTAATTTATACTAGCTAGTAATGTACTTCAGCAACATATTAAAATTTTTCATGAGCATAGCATATATTGTGATAAATTAAAATCAACCTAATCCAGAGAAATTTAACTAGTTATGTTACTTTTTCTTTTTAAGATTTTACTCAGAACTTAATAATGATAATGATCATAAATGGGTACTGGAGATTGATTAAGGGTACGTTTAGCTAAAGAGACTGTGAATATGAGTGTTGATTCTGACTATTATCAACACATTTGATCTTTATAAGTAAATAAAACTGTACTTTTAATCTTTGACGATTTAAAAGGATAGTGAAAGCTTGGAACTTTAGTAATTAATCTGAAGATAAGTATGATTTAGCGAATACCGAAGAAAGATTGAAACTAAAATTTGTGTGGTAAATAATATAAGGTATTTTCATAAGTATAGGTAATCAAAGTTTAATACTAATTATAATTAGTATTATTTTAATGCTTCGGACTGAAATAAATAACAATCTTTTTTTTCTGTTTTGCTATTATGTACCTAATTATATTTAGGTTGAAACATAGTTTTGTTGCCAACTTTTCCTTTAAGTATGGTGTGAAACTTCTATGTAAGCTTTGAACTACAAGAAAACAGAAAAACTGTACTATGTTTGATAGTGTAGTGGTACAATACTGCTTAAACTAGTAAACAGAGTTTGCAGAAAAGGTCATGCCATTTATGTTGGGTTTACCTGTTTTGTGGGGAGGAAGATGAGGGGAAATAGTATAGAAATTTTGATTAATTTCAGAGGAAGAAATTTTTGTGTTAAAACCATGTATGATAATGAGAGTAAATCACCTAATCCAGTTTCCAATAGGTAGTGAGCCATGTTATAACATTTTGTACACAGTAAAAACTTATTGAAGAAATATTTGAAATAATCTCAATGAACAAATAGAAGAAAAGCTTCATTATTTGAACCTAATGAATAACAATAACTAAAAGAATATTTGATAACTCTATTGTGTTTTTATTGTAGAACAATTTTATGAATTTAATCTTAGGTAAAATATGAACTATTTTAGTTATTAATAGAAAGTTAAATCATGTGTTTAATACTTTTCAGGTTCCTAATTTTTGACTAATTAGGGAATAAGTAAGTAATGATATTGTTATTTTTATTACAATATGGGTTAATTAATTTAAATTTGTCAGATATTTCTTTGCTTTAACTCAAGTAAGTGCTAATAGAATAAATTTGATCTTCTCAGTCTGATTACTGGTGGAGGGACTTCGGAAAGTCGGTTTATTGTTCCATTTATAGGTGTCTAATGGCCACCAAGAGGAAGTGGTATAGCTCTGTACTTTTATTCTCCCGGTCCATTTTGGTCTGTTGTTTGAGTCTGGCTGTGACTCTGGGATTTTAAGAATCTTCTGGAATATACTTAGCCTCTATTAAGTTAATAGTTAATGGGAAAAATTTGGGAATTGAGCGTGATCTCAGTCATATCTTCCTAGAACCACCCTTGACTAAGATACAATTATTTTTAGTAATGGCCATATTGATTGGTGCTTCTTGTTTCTCTCCTTTCCTGGCCTTTTCGGCTGTACAGGGTTTTCGTGAGCTTGGGGAGAGCGCAGGGAGTTAAAGCCTGAGTTAAAACTCAGTACTGGGAATTAAACTGGTTAACACAGGTGCTAGCCCACTTGGCTGTCCCACCTTATTATAGATTGGTGTCCAACCATCTATTGTAATCCGACCTATACTGCTCTGACCCTGCAATCAGACTAATCCATGCCTAAGGTGACCAGATGTCCCGCTTTTGACAGGACAGTCTCAAATTTAACAAGTTGTCTCATTGTTTCAATAAAATCCCAATTTATTTAAACAATGCACCATAAGCCAAAAAATTTTAAATTTTATAATTCTTTAATAATAACGAATAATTGTTGAGAATTTTTCATCAAAGTTCGCATTGTTGATCAATTGTTAAAATTTGACCACCATTGTTTGGAATTAATAAACAATCTGGAAATGATCTTTTTAATCAGATATCACTATAAAATGATATTTATAAGGAAAAGGACAAATCAGGGGGCAAGTTAACTTCATTTACTACTTTCATTACCGAAATTTTGCCACCTTCAATAAGTTTTAAAGCATTTTGAAAAAGAGCTACTTGATTTTTTATCCTAATCTGTACCCACATATTGCTTTTTTTACTTTCTTTTTTCTATAACTTCAGCCATTGTCCTGTTCTACCCTTCCTCACTCTGGCAACTCATTCTAAGGTCTAGTGACGAATCAGGTTAAGATTTCTTCCAATCATAGTTTGAAGATAGGTGACAACTTCTCTTGGGCATATTCTTGATCCTTATGTAACCATAGTTGAAGGGTGTGCCTCTTAAGACGATAGCTGCAAATAGAATTTTTGCAGGAGGACAAGCTTAATTTTTCCCCTTCACCTCTCCCCAATAAAAGTCTTCAGTTTTAAAATAGTGTTTTTATTCATTTATTTCTAAATGTAGGTCTAAATATAAAAAAAAAACATATAAATATTTTTTATTTAACCTAAAAATATAATTTTTTTTTTTTTTAATTTGCCACATTTTTTCTCCCCTCTCCTTCCTTGCCTTTTAGGCTATACAAGATTTTCCCGGGCCAGTGGATGACGTCGGGGATTAATGCCAGAGTTAAAAGCCCCCCATCACCGGGATGTGAACTCGTTATTATTTTATCATCCATACCTTTGGCTATCAAGTTGCCGAGGAACGCACATGCATTAGCCCACTCGGCCACTCGATCCCTGAAAAAACTGGTAGGATTGACTGTGATACCACGTCTTATGCCTGTGTGAATATATTCCATCCTTGTCAAGGGGAATTCTAAACTTACCTCTTTTTTTTACTATACTTTAATTTGCCACCTCCTAAATTCTACTTCCTGGGGTGTGTAAAAGTGTGTCCCCTTTTCCTTCCTCTTATTTCAGCCATGCGAATGTCTCTCACACTCCCTAAGTACCAACTACTGTAGTCTGTGGAATGGATTCAGTAAGTCATTGCTAAAACAATATATTTTCAATAAAATATAGCATTTTGAATCAAAATAAGGATATTCTTTATTATTATAGAATTTATAATTGTATATAATTTAAATAATATCTCAAAAAATAAGATATGCGACCAATATTCTCATTTCAAACTAACTAATACTTATAGAGTATACTTTCTCCATTGTTCGGATTTTTAAAATTATTAATTTTGCAGTCAGTTAATTATATCATAAATTGTTTTCAATAATATACAGACTTTATTAATTATTTATTTTATTAGGAACTAACAACAGAAGAGGAAGATCAGGACCACAGGTAGTTCCTTCTCCAGCTGCTTCTTCTCAGGAAGAACCTCAGCCATCAGTACCTCCGCCTCAAGGCCCGCAAGCTACAGCTGTGCCAAATCCACAGCCGGAAAAGAAACTTTCTTCATTGCCTGAGGTAATGCTCATGTTTTGAAATTTGAATTAAAATTTTATTCTTTGGTTCTTATTCATTTTTTTCTGTCATTAATAAGCAAGGTTGTAGTTCAAACCTTTGCTAGTCTGGGGTATATTTCATAAATCATTCATCAAAATCCAAATATTTCAATAGGATTTAATTTTTAATTGGTTATTTAAAGATGTGCGCTGTGCCGACTGGTAAACGTCCTAGGGGTAGACCGAAGCGAAGGTGGGAGAATTGCGTTAAGGCTGATCTAGCGGGGCTGGGTTTGGACAGCGACCGGTGGAGGGAGGTGTGTAGACAGCGATTGGTGGTGTTGGCACTGAGCCATTGGGTTCGCCAAGCCTTTTATTATTTATTTATTTATTATTTAAAGGTATTTAAATCATAATGGTATTTCAAGGTACAAAATATATTGATATGAAAATATAATTAACTATATTTAGGATAAAAAATAAATTATATTTTAACAGTGTTGGTTTATGATAATGAGTTTTTGCTCATATTTTTAGACTCAGTGGATCCCAAAAATGTGAATGGAAAAAAAATATTGTTTAACAAATCACCATGAATTCTCTATCTTTAGTGCTTGAGCCATGAAAATTAAAAGACTAAAAGCTACTTTTTATCGTATTTTCTCTCAAAAGGATAGACTTTTACAAACATCTGACGGAATGAAGTGCATTAAAGCCTTAGAATACGATTATGGATGTTTCGGAGATATCTGTTATTTATTCTTTTTCTAGAGATCTTGAAGTTTAGTCAATGAATAAATAATCACATTTTTCCTTTGACATCAGTACTTTGGAAATCCTGGAATCATCCATTCGAGAGTCATGGTCAGCTCAGCATACCTATTATTTTACTGTTGTCATTTATATTGCATACAAATGCAAATTAGTTTTGTTTTTGTCTTTATGGTTGCCCTTAATCTTTATTTTATAATTTTATTATTTTGTAATTATTGTTTTTTATGCCAAACAAACTATTATTTATAAAGGTTTTAGGGAATTAAGTTCCCCAGAATAATATTTAATTTCTTTCTTTCAATTAGTTTGATGTCTCTTTTTATGGAGAGGGATGATGGCGCCTGTTTACCATTCCTCTGCCATAATTTTAGTTATCCAAATTATATGGAAAAGGTTACTGATAACCTTGATTAATTCATTCCTGACAGCCTTCAGAAGTTCCACAGCTACGTATTGTATGATCTTGGATCTGTAATGTTATTTAGTTTTTGGATGACGTCATTGATTTCATCATATGGAGCAGACACAATGGCTTCCTCTGGAGAATTCTGGAAAGTTTATTGTAAATTAAAATTATTAAAATTCCTCTAAAGTGGTTAATCAATCTTTTTTACAAAGTTGTCAATTCTTTCCTTCTTTAAAAAAAGAGACCTGATGAACTTTGATAAAAGGCTGTAGTGTTTCTCTGTTTGCATTTTTCTTTGCATAAAAAAATAATGTTTTCCTATACTTTGTTTCCAAAATATAGACAGTATATGTGGAATAAGTATTTGTGTGACATGTTTCTTTTTTTCTATGAACTTAAAAAATGTATCACAAATTTCAATAATTGCTGTTACATCATGATTTGCTTTAACTAAACCTCCACTATCTTTTGTCCTTAATAAAATTTACCTGAGAGGGTCATCATCTTGCAAAAGTTCCAGTGCCTCAATATAGTATGGCTAGGCACTCAACCCATCTTCATGATGTAGCCTCCAATATGAAATGAGTAGGAATTTAAATCTGAGGTTGTGCCAATTTTTTGCACCGGTCAACTAGTACAAGTTAGTTTAGTGTTCTGTGTGTGTAATTATCAGCCAGTTTTTTATTATTACTATTTGGAATAGTTTCATTTGTAGTTGTTGTTGCAGTAAGAATTCAATTGAGACACTGTCTTCAGAATTTATTTAATTATTCGAATTTTCTTTATTATAAAATACTTTAGCTCTACTACAATTAGACTATTGCTGGAGGGCAAACTTATGTGGCACAAAGTTGAAAATATTTTTTTTTTTCTCTCTCTTATTAGTAACAATTTTTTACAAATGTATATATATACTTTAAGATTACAATATGATATTATATTTTATTCAATATTTTTATAGTTAATCTGAGATTTAGGATTAATAAAAAATTAAGTTTTAACTTATTGCTGCAAGAGTTTTTCCTGGAAATGCCAGCTAATGTTAGCTTTTATAAATTAAATATAAAACTTCAATATTTCATTGTTTTAAATTTCCTTAGCAAGTATTAATAATGGAACAAAACGAGAAAGAGCGTGCTCCTCCTTCTGCTTATTGTGATTTCTGTCTTGGAGATGCAGTATCAAATAAAAAGTCAGGGCAGCCAGAGGAATTGTTGTCATGCTCTGATTGTGGTCGTTCAGGTAAATTAAATCTATTATGTTTTTTTTTCTTTTTTTTAAAATATTTTCTATTACTAATATATAATAGAAATTAATGTGTAATTTAATTATAGGCCACCCCACATGTTTACAGTTTACTGATAATATGATAGTATCAGTTAGAAAGTATCGATGGCAGTGTATTGAATGTAAATGCTGTTCAATATGTGGAACTTCAGATAATGATGTAAGTTTTTTAAATTTTTAATTATTGTTATTATTATATTATAAAAAGATACTCCTTAAATAGCCGGTCGGACTGACTGATATCTACCAATGTTTATAACCTTAACACTGATAATTGTGATAAGGCACTGATAATTCCTATCTTTGTATTCATATTTATTGTATTATACTCATTTATTGTAATAGCAAACAGACAAAAACAAATGAGTACTCCTTAAATAGCCGGTCAGGTCGAAAGCTCTCTTGTTATCTAATCTTATATCACATAACCTCCCTTCTTATCTCCTCTAACCTAAGTTATTCCTTTGTTTATTTCTGTCCCTCCTGTAAGCTGTGAGTTATTCCATCATTTATTTTTGTCCCATTATTGTTATTTTTGTAAAATTATCGATGTTGCTACATTGTTCGAATTGCCGTCTTCAGAAGAAGAGGCTATCAAATATTTTCAAGATGCCGGGAAATTGCAAAGGTGAAACATTGTGATGAAGGTCATGAAATGAAGTTCGACGGGAAGACGAAATGGAGGTACTTTCGTACTTGTAACAAAAAACATTTCTATAAGGAAAGGAACGTGGTTAGAGGGGTCAAGGATTTCTTTTTTAACGGCTTTAAAATTCATTTATGGGTTGTTCCATAATTTAACAACAATCTAGTGGAGCAAAGAGCAGCTGAAATTATCCGAGAGATGTCATAGTGTTTCTTTTATATGTACATATTTTGTTTAAGTGTTTTTTTATTATTTCAGTTATTTATATATATATATATATATGTTATCGTAATGTTTTTACATTATATATGTATAATGTTTTGGTCTATTTAATATATATGTTGTAAAATTAAAATGTTTTTTTATTATTGCATTTATTTTTGTTATTGTTTACAATTTTCCACAATATGAATATAATACAATAAATATGAATACAAAGAAAAGACTTATCACTGCCTTATCAGAATTATCAGTGCTAAGGTTATAAATATTGGCAGGCCCGACCGACTATTTAAGGAGTACCAACAAATTTAATAATAAAAAAATACTTTTATTTTAAAACATATATAAATTAAATAGGCGAAAACAAATATAATTATAACAAAATAGTTTGATTAAATACTTTTATTTTAAAACATATATATTAAATAGATGAAACCAAATGTAATAATAACAAAACAGTTTGATTTGAAATTGGAATTGTGAAAAAGAAATGTAATAATTTCCACAACAATAACAAAACACTTTAATTTTACAACTGATATATGAAATAGACAAAAATAAATGAAATAATAAAAAAAGACTTAAACAACTTATGTACATATAAAAGAAACAATGTGAATAAATGAATTTTAAAGCCGTTAAAAAAGAAATCCTTGACCTCTCTAACCACATTCCTTTCCTTATAGAAACGTTTTTATTACATTGTATTGGATGTAGGAAAACATCCCCATTTCGTATTCCCGTCTAAACTTCATTTCATGACCTTCATCCCAATATTTCACCTTAGCAATTATCCCAGTGTCTTGAAAATATTTGATAGGCTCTTCTTCTGAAGACAGCAATTCCCACAATGTAATATCATTTGACACATCCATAATTTGACAAAAATCACACTAATGGAACAAAAATGAACGATGGAATAACTCACAACTCACACGAGGAACAAAAAATAAACAATGGAATAACTGAGCTTACACGAGATAAGAAGGGACACTATGTGATGTAGCATTAGATAACAAGGGAGGTTTCGTCCAGACCAGCTATTTAAGGAGTACCTATAAAAATTTAATTTTTTTTTCTATTAATTATTACAAGATTAGTCCTCTTTTTTCATATGAATTAATATTACTCTCATTAATAAAATATTTTATTATTCTATGCTTTATGCCTATGACGAATTTAGTAATTTCCAATTTTTTAATCTTCAAATTTCCATCAGCACCTGACATGATAGTGACAATTAAGAGGTTTGTTGTTATGCTACTTAATGACTTTTTAGACCTAAGGAAGAATATTATCCATCAGCATCTCTTTCCTCATATTTGTTTACATCCTTGAATTAGGAAAGGAGATCTATTATTTAATTTTATATACATATTAATTAGTAACCCAAACCATTTTAAAAGAAAAAATCTTTATGATAATAAATTCAAGAGAGATAGTTATAATATGAATCATTGATAATAAAAACAATTTTATTTCATCATAAAATATATATGGATGATAAACAGTCAGTTTTTAAAAAAATTTTGTTGCCAATGTTTCAACCCATGCTTGCAGGTCATCATCAGGACATGTTACCAGCACTGAAGGTATTCAAGTATTTGAACATCGTACTTCAACAAACACCTTCAGCACTGGTAATGTGTCCTGATGATGACCTACAAGTTTGAGTTGAAATGCTGGCAGAAATAAAAATGTTAAAAACTAACTATGTTCTGACTATTTATCACCCATGATATGTAGAAAAGTCGCCTAACTTCCTTTCATAATATGCTGTTGTTACGCTTCCTTTGAAAAGTAAACAAACAGTTTCTTAACCTAATTATTTCTCAGGTTGTCTTGAGACGATAAACACACATTCCTCAATTATATAATCTAAAGGCAAACATTAATTTTCTATGAAATATTTATGAATTTCCATTCAGTTTTGTCGGGGTCTACTCTTGTCGCTTCCTAATTGTCATTATTTATTTTACACTCACTCTTGTCTGCATTGAATCTTCCTCTGTATTAATGCAGCAGGATTTACTATATTAAACTTCTACAATCTTCTATTTTCTTGTCTTCGTCTAGACACTCACTATTTGCTGGTCACCTGTCATTCTCTGTCCCTCTTGATGATTTTGCCTTGCCGCCTGGTCACTTTCTCCCTCAATATATGGCCCTTCCATCTGTCTTTCTCCACCTCTTTGTCCATTTTTGCCAACAGTTCATGACGTCACTGCTACCACTCTACTATTTAATTAAAATCACTATTTAATGTTTACTATGAATTTAAAGGAATGAGAAAAAGATTATAGTTAAATAATAAATTAAGTAGCATCTATCAAACATACTCCTTTAAACTGACAAAAATCAATCCTATTTAAAAATAAATCAGTCATACTTTAATATAATGCTCAACAGGTCCTGTTAAAAATAGAACGATTATAAATAAAGTTTTAAAGGTTGTTAAACATTGGAAGTACACACACACACATATATATATATATATATATATATATATATATATATATATATATATATATATGACAACCCAGCCTTCATATGTGATGATTGAATTTATTTAGAGAGAAGTTGATTGGAGATAGCAGTCATTGTGGAAGTACACAAAATTTGTGTATTTCCAATGACCGCAATCCTCCAACCAATTTCTCTTCAACAATATCCTCCAACAGTGAACAATTATTCACCATCATAAAACAATTAGTTTTTGTTTGTTTTTTACTCCAAATTGTGTCCAGATTAAATAAAACACAAGCTAAGGACAAGTTTCTATACTCGGCTTGGCCATCAGATCCTACTCTAAACTGGATAAAACAGCGATGTGCAAACATCACTCGAGTTGCAACAATGAGCTCGACACTGAGTTTAGGAACTTGCCCTAATTACATTTTTTAATGTTGATTCCCGCCTACTGATCCCCTACAGAAATATAATTACTATTTAAAAAAAAAGCTCTATACTGTATTTTCAATGAATTTTTAGGACCAACTTTTGTTCTGTGATGACTGTGACCGAGGTTACCATATGTATTGCCTTGCACCTCCGCTTCATACACCTCCTGAAGGATCATGGAGCTGCCGATTATGCCTCATTGAGTTTCATGACAAATAACAAATTAATTAAGAATGCATTTTGTTTTATTTTTTTAAAAGTTTGATGTTTGCACACTTATTTTACTAATGATAGAAATAGAATTTTGTGTACTCGTTAGTAAATGTAACGCTTACACTCAATATCTGTGCATCTGTATTTTAAATTAATGTAGTTATAGGTCCAGGGTATTGTTATTACATGATATTAGCGATTAACGAGCATTAAATACTTATTCTAGTGTAAGCAGTGGAATTGTGTACTTAAGTTTAAAGACACTTGTCTTAGTTTTACTTTAATTTGTTGAATAATATTGTGATGAGTTCTTATTTATGGCTAGATTTTATGTTAATCTAAATCCCATCTATATGTTCAGCTATTAGTATTTATTAAATGTTATAATAAATTTTGCCAGCACATGTATCTCACTTTAATGTGATCAAATTTATCGTGATTGAAATTTTAGAAAGCATTTGACCATATAGTATCTATATTATTTAATTATAGACATCTGTCCTATTTAAATATATTTTTATCTTAAAAGATTATATTTTTTTAAAATTACATTCACTTAAAAGACTACCTTACTTTGTTTGGTGTTTGTTTTTCATTTTAATTAGTAATGAACATAGTTAATTGCACATCATGAAAATAACTATTTTAAAATAATCAATATTTTTTACAGCATACTTCTAAAACGTTTAAGTTCCATTTTCTTTCAAATAAAAGCTCTGTATTTCTTTAGCAAAGCAAAAGATTTCTGTCCCTGGCAATTATTGTTCCTGTTTTCATGTATTTAATACGCAACTGTGAACTGTACATTTAATAACATTATTTAAATTTAAAAAATAATATACTTAGTGCTATTTTTATTATTATTTTTTCCAATATCCCAATCTTGTGATTAAACAGTTGACTCTCAACGATTCACAACTTACAGGATTGAAGCATCTTAGCTTATGAAAATCAAAAATCACAAATAATTTACAAAAACAAATTGAATCCTTTAATTGATTAATTAGCTTTTTATAATTCTGCACAAAAAGTCCAAAACTTGAAATGTAAACTATTGAAAACACTAAAGATACAAAAACCTCTTATGTACTTATCATTTATATACATATGTGTAACATATAAAAAGTATTTATTTATTTAAATTAACACTTTAAGTTTTTTTTTTTAATTACATTAGCAACTCTGATATTTATAGCAACTTTTACTAGATGTAGGTAATCATGATATTGAAAAAATTCACATTTGCACCATCTTGTGAATGAGTGGCATTAATGTCGTGGTTTATTGGATATAGTTGTCTGATAGATATTTTGGATCAAACAATTTGTTTTTAAAATTAATTTTTAAGAAGACCTCAACAAAAAACCAAGTAAAATATATTTCTTTATTTACTATTAAGCAATTTATAACAGAATACCGACAGTTGGTTCAGTATAATATTGTCTATTAAACTTTCTGTTTAAAACATATTACTGCTGTTTAATCTATGCCTTCTTTAAAAAATTAAAGTCAATAATTATTTTATTTAAAGATAAGGTAATTTCAATAACTAACATTTTTATGAGGAACTCCTTTCATCAAAAATTAAAAAATAATCCACTTCCTTGTAAAATTTGCTTAATTTTATGTTGTATTAAACGATCTGGAGTCCTTACTGTGTCTTAGTGGATTCTCATTATCACTATTTTATGATTGTTTTGGTCAATGATTATAAGAGAACCATTTCAACCAATTAAATCATTTTGAATTGGTCCTCAGTTCAGTTATATCAAGTTTATATAATTTTATTATTTAAGCTTAAGGTGTCTAATTAATTGAAACCTCAAACGACTGAAATAACATATATTTTAATAATGAAAATACTTTTTGATCAAATTTCATTCTATAACAATTATAATAGTAATCAATAATAAAAGCAGAAAATTTAGTGTTAATGTTGCTCCATTTGTGGGATGGATTGATATTGAAATGTGTAAATGTATTTTAGGTAGATGTTGATACATTAATATCTGCATTTACCCAATGGCTAATAATCTACATTTATTTTATATAATGTTTAATGGGAAACCGTTACTAAAAGCATTTAATTCACTGTAAAATGCCTAGTTTAAAAACATATATTTTATTTAAATAATAATAATAAAATCCAAGGTGATTGATTATTGGGAGTCTTCTGTTATAACAAACAAATTAAGTTGTATGTGAAATTGAATTCGGGTATTTTTTTTTATAGTTTTAGTTACACATATTTAATTCAGAAATTTTTTTATTCTTGTTTTCCCATCTTGTGAATAGACCTTTGTTTGTTTATATGTTCTTTATTTTCTAATCAGGATTATTATTTTATTTTTATAATAAACAATCATTGTCTTTATACTATAGAATTTGTGTGTGATTGCATATTTTCCAAACTACACAAATTTTTAAATTAAATTCTGTTTTTTCGATAATTGAAAAAAAAAATATGTACGTCATGCTCATAGTAACTATTTGTATTATTTGATAAGTGAATGTTTTCTATCTAGAATATGTGAACTGAAAAAAATTGATGTATTTCATTTGAAACTGACTGTTATTCTGCGATAAGATAGTATTGATTTGGCTGGCATTCTTACGATAGTATGACATCACATTGAAAATTATTGTATATTTCAAATGGTTTTAATTGAATTTTGTCATAATTTTTTTCTTTATACATATCTTAATAAATGGGTCATAATTTAAAAAAAAAAAGATGTTTTTTAATTTAAGCTGTTGGGTCAAACTCCATTTTTTTTTTTAATTATAACAGTTAACGAGTGATTCATAAAATTTTGTTTACTTTTAAATTCAAAGTATCTGCATGTTGTATATTTTAATAAGTATACGATAAATAATGGTTATTGTGGTTATGATTTTAGTATTATATTAGTAATATCTGCATTTTATAAAACTTTGTTTTTCAAGGTACTTTTGAAGTGACATTTCATATAAACAAAGTGGTGTATTATTTAGAAAGATAATGGAATATTAGTGTACTTAAAAGGAAAAAAAGCTAAATGTAATTTTTATTTCTATTTCAATAATTTTACTTTGTAGGATTAGATTCACATTGTAAAATCTTTATTTTTGTATTTCTTTTAAAAAATAAAAACATCTTCCTATTTTTTTATAATATAAAAAGTATTATTTTGTTTTTAATTGTAATTGTAACATTCATTAATAAATTGGTGCTCAAACCTTTTAATTTGTTGATTACATTATCCCTGAGTGATGTAATTATTTACTGTTTTTGATTTTGTAACTCTTACTTAATAGTTGTTGATTTATCTGAATAAACAAAAACATTTAATCTATTTGAGAATAATAATAATATAAAAGGGGAAAAAATCTTTCAAAATTGTCATGGATACTTTGCAAATGCCAATCAGATATAAATATGTTGTAAGTTAACCCTCATATTGCTGCAGTCATCTGATTTTATTCAATCTTTTTGTAATACTTTTTACAGTCAAAATGTTTTCTAGCTAGTCTTGCTTCTTTTTATATCAAATACAGGTTCATCTATTTCTCATTTTCTTCATGATAGAATGTAAGTGGTACCTTATATTGTTCTAAAATTATGATAAGAATAGCCTTTATGAATACTTCTGGAGAAAAAGTTAGATAAATTGAAAATAAAAGCTGCACGTTAAATACTTACCAAACAGGCAAAGAAATTAGGGACTATGCTATTGAGATATCTTACAATGCTTAAGTATTTTAATCATAAATTACTTTCAGTAATGGTGTAATTACAGTTTCAGTTCATTTTTATTTTATAGAACACAATTAATTCACTTAACAGTTTAAGAGATGTAATTTCAGGCTGTTTTACAAAATATTTAGTCTAAAGTTTAAATTCATTTCTTCACGAAATTTAGTCTAAGAATTGCTCTTGGTACACATATAAAACATGTACATTGGAATAAGATTATTTAAGACAACTTATTTAAATAAAAATGATTGAATAACATTTAGAACAGACACACCTTCCTAATCCAGAAATGCTATTAGAAGTTTTAATAATATAGTAATCAACTTGACAAAGATTTCTTAAGTTGTTAAAAAGCAAAGATAACATTAAAACTAAGATTTTTTTTCATCATCAGTTTGATAAATGAAGTTATGACTTTAATCTGGCTATAAATTTGATAAAGATTGCCATTACTAATATTACTAAGACCTGTTCCATTATTAGTTATTTATAGACTTAATAATGTTATTGCAATATAGTATTAATTTTTAAATGCTATATTAGTTCAAAATTAATGATCAAATCATTTCCATCATTGGGCCTTTTTCCTTAAATTATGCCTTATAGATGGTAAACACCAAATAAGTCATTCTACATGAAATTTAGGCCTTTCATTATTAATATTGGTTAGTATAAATTATAAACACATATAAACAAACAAAACCTCTACAGAGCCAGATGATTTATCATCAGAATTAATAAAGTACACAGAAGACGTCTGGAATGAGATTTACAAGGTAATATGGGATATATGGTCAGAAGAAAAAATTCCAGATTAATGGGATGAGTCCCTAAACATAAAAATGGAGATAAACTCAAATGTGAGAACTACAGGGAAATAGCACTCCTATCCAGTCTATAAAATCCTGTCAGTGGCAATATGTTGAAGGCTAGTGGAGAGGAGTGAAAGACTACTAGGAAAGTAGATCAGTGGCTTTCGTCCAGGACAATTGATTATTGATCACCTTTCCTGTATCAGGCAAATGCTGGAGAAAATTATGAATATATCATAGATCAATATCATTTATTCATTTACTTCTGGCAGGCATATGATAATGTAAACAGGAGTAAGCTATTGGAAGCTTTACAGTCATTGGGTATACCTAGTAAACTAATAAGATTGACAAGAATAACTATAGGAAGGACAAGGTGTAAGATCAAAACCAGAGTGGGTGTATCGATAGTTTTGAGGTTAACAGTGGCTTAAGACAGGAAGACCCATTATCGCCTGTACTATTTAATCTTGCCTCTATTTGGAAAATCAAGACTAACCCTGGTGTTACCATATATAATAGGCTCACACAATACATGGTATATGCTAATGATGTTACAACAGGTAGAACTAAAGCAGCACTAGCTGGCACTGTAGAAGAGATCAAGCAAGCAGCTCAAGAATTAGGACTCGTGATAAGAACAGAAAAACAAGGTATATGAAAACATCTTGACATACCACGGAAAGAGGAGATACTGTTGAATTAGGAGAAGACACATTTTGTAACTGTGATATATATATTTAATATATTGATTATCTGGAATCTTTTAGATAAGTAACACTTATTACAAACTTCTGTGCCAGTGTTTCATTACAAACTGCAAACATTTCTGAGGATTTAAAACTAGAATTTAGTAATTTAATGTTACAATGATGTGTTCTTGATAATTTAAGATATGTTATGGTATTTGGACAAAATTATTTTTGAGTTGTTAAATTATATTTATTTTAAAAATAGCAGTACTCATAACTTATTTCTATAAATTGATTACTTTATATGAAACACCTGTCTACTTTTTAACACACTCACCTATTTTTGGAAATCTTTCTACAGCGTGATCGTGAGATTTGTGACTACTCATTGTGATAGAGAGACAAGTTGGACCATTTTAGAACTTAAATTATAGTTCATGTGATACAAAAATGAAGGCTAAATTAAAATTTTGAAAGTTACCTTTTATATATACATATGTATTGTTTGGTTGGCATTTGGACTCTGTAGATCTTTGATCACCTGATAAAGTACTCTTATAGATGTATATTACTTGTGAGAGCACAGATAGCCTGGAAAGGATCCTCATGGGGCCATTTCGGAAGTGCCATCCCCATCAACTCGCTTGGGTTCAAGCACAGTGACAAATTGGTCTAGATCAATAGATTGCAGCAGCTCAAATGCTGCTGGAATCAGCAGGCTCATGAGGACCTATATTACTTTTCCTGAAAAACCATCTACGGTCCAAACCTTTGGGTGGCTGCTGACATTCTGGAAAACCATATCATGATTCCCAATTAAACTACACATGGTATATAGTACAATCCCAATCCCTGAGATGCCTCCAGAAGGTTAACAAGCCTTATAGACCCTTGGGGAGGGAGGGGAATTTCTGCCATGATGGCTTTCCTCAGAGAAATATCACCCAATTATGCAGATAGATATTCCATTTCCTAAGAAATATGCAATAATACAAATTAAATATTTAATCAGACTAATGTACCTATAAAAAGTTATGAATTAAAAGATTGGAGGACCAATAAGAAATTAAATAAAAAATTTATATTTATACACACACATATATATTAATATGGATTTTTTATAATCAATTTCTAAATTTGTTTCTTCAAATTTTCTATCATCTGAAATATTTTTAAAATAAGATAATGGTATTTTTACATGCTTTATGCTTAAGATTATGGTATACAGACATGCTAGAGTAAATATAAAAGTTATTGATTTAATTTTAGCAGTTACTAGTTTTGAACAATAGATACAAAAAACAACATTGCTGAGTTTAGGAAAACTGTTGATGTTTGGTATTGTAAAGGCCGAGCCAAGATTTCAATATTAAACAAAAGGATGCAGTTACTTTTGGCATTTAAAATGATAATATTATTACTATGAAAGAAATAAAAAAATGAAATGAAATTGAAACGAGGTATAGTGTTTATTAAAAATTAAAGCTATTTCGTTAATTTTTTTTTTGTTTTTAACTGAAAATGAACTTACGATTGTGAACTGTAATTATTTCTTCAATGTTGCATTTAATTTATTTCTATATTTTTTACTCTGAACCCCACTTTCCAGTAGGGTTGTTATGTTTAAGGCCGTTACTCCTCTTAAAAGAGTAAGGCTAGAGCAAAACATGTTTAGATTAATAGAATATATAGTTTGAGAAGGAGTTAGTCGAGGGTGCGGTCAAATAAATAAAAAAATTAAAATATATAAATTATTTTAATTTTGCCTGTCAAATAAATAAAAAAATTAAAATATATAAATTATTTTAATTTTTGCCTGGTCAAATAAATAAAAAAATTAAAATATATAAATTATTTTAATTTTTGCCTGTCAAATATATATATATTTTTTTTTTTATTTGACCGCACCCTCGACTAACTCCTTCTCATATTATATTAACGGTCAACCATCTCTACATCACTAAGAATATATAGTTGTTTATTAAACTGTTTATCAAAGAACTACCAAATATATTATTTATATTTATATAACTTAAATTCAGAAAAAGTTAATCTACAAGTAAATTGTATTATAATTTTGTTTTGCCAAATAAACGCTATTTTCATACACTCATATTTATTACTCTAGTAAAAATAATCCAAATATGCAGTTATAGTCAGTTATCGTTAAATTCAAAAATTGGTTAATCGCCACTCAGTAAACTAATTTATATCCATTTACAGTTTTAACAATCCATGCAAACAAATTATGCAATTGCATATAATTCCACTCTTTTTATTAATAATTCTCTTAAATATTTACCAAAAGAAACTTTTAAACTTCTAAAGCATGTGGCAATAAACAAATACATCAAAAAATCTCGAGGTACAATGGTTAACCTAAGAGGAACTGGTTCATGCTATTTATGCTTGGATATAAAGAGGAAGAACAATATTCATGACACAAGGTTGTATTCAGGGCTATATCCTTACTTCCTCATGTAATAAGTAAATGTATTTTGGAGTTATGCCATATTCCAAAGGAACTTTGGAAATAGATTAGAATCTGATTATAGTTAAAATAAATAAACTTTTATTAAACCACATACATTCATAGCATATAAAAAAAATAAGAAATGATTTTTTTTGGAAAACTACAAACACATATATACTTTATATATGTAAATACAGATAAAGAAACACATGACTCTTGAAGTAATCAATAATTACACTCAGTTTAATATTCAAGTTTGAAATCAAATTAAGTTAATAAAAGACTTATTTACATTATACAAGCTTATGCCTTATTTAGTTATTTTATTACATTTTGTGAAAGTTCCTCGACTTTTATTAAAACAGTATTCCAAAAACAAAAAAAAAACATGCTTTGTTAAAACATCTTCAACTGTTTCTGGAAAATATAAAATATCGTAAAACAAATATCTTAGAATTAACCAACTTCATTTTATCATCAAAATATCAGGATTTAAAAAAGTTAATTTATACGTTTAGTTAAACTAAATCATTAAAGATAAGCGATTAAATAGTTAAAAGATTTGCAAATAATATTTTATTTGCTGATTTTAACTTGTAACTAAAGAAACAGAAGACCCTAATCCAAAAAAATAACAGTAAACTTAATTTATGAAACGCCATTGTTGTTAATCTTGTGCGTCATCATCACGTGTTGCCCCCCCACCTCTTGGGAATGAAAACAACACAGCCATTGGTTCTAGTTAGTTGGAAACGTAGGTCTTTTCTCGTCACTTGTTTTCCTTTCACATAGTGCTTGCACGTTCTCTTTATTTCCCCACAGTTCTCATTCCTTTATTGGTGAGTAGAATTAAACTTGTTTATTATTTGTAAATAGTAAAGTCTTCTTTCTTGAATAACTTTTGGTGGAGGAAACTTGCAACGTAGATGAAACGTATGTTATGGTTCACCTGCCAGAAGCTTATTTTAGAAAGTAGGTTTCTAAAAGTGCTATTTAATGCTGTATATTCTCATTTTATTTAAATATTTTGTTTTATGTAATCTAATTCTTTTTCTTTCTCAATTTTAGATCAGCAGTAGCTTGGAACTGTGCAAGCTTTTCTTTTTATCAATGATGTGTTGGTTTTAAATTCAAGAAATTCATATGGTTAGAATACTACTTTTAAGTTAGAATCAGTGTTTTGTGTAAGTGTTGAGGCCAGTACGTTAGTACTTGGCCTAGTTTTGTTTTAAGTGTCGTGTCACATATGTGTGTTAAGCTTCACATTTCATCTTCGTACCAATCTCTGTGTCACTGTAAACCTGGAACTTTCTACTATGCGCGACGAGATTTCAGCGGCAGTTGTCTTTTTAGTCCGCCTGATAGAAAAAAGCGAAAACTTTAACAGGGAACAATTGGAACATTTCAAAAGCAGATTGTCTGAGCTGCTCCTCGAAAAATTTGAAAACCATTGGTTTCCTGAAAAACCTGATAAGGGGCAAGGTTACAGATGTATAAGGGTAAATGGAGTAAACAGGCGGGATGAAACTCTTGAACAAGCTGCCCTAGCATGCGGGATACGCTATGAAGACATGAAACTTCCTTTTGAACTCACTATTTGGGTTGACCCCAATGAAGTATGCTGTAGGTATGTATGACTTATTTTGGTAATTATTGAAGTATCATTTTAAATCATTAGCTTAAGCATTTATTTTATAATTTTGGGCCAATTTTACCTTTGTCTGATATTTGAATTCATTAAAACGAGTTTAGATATTTATTTTATAATATTTAATTATCTACCATTTTAAATCCCAAATTACATCATGTTTATGTTCACAAATTCAAAAATAAAATAATATTATATTATTCTTTATTTCAAAATTTTTAATGATAAAAGGGGGATGGACCCTTTTTGAAGCCTACTTGTGTCCATTGTTCTCTTGAATTGGTTTTCCAAACTTGTTTGTTGACCTAGCAGCTGGGAGTCAGTGAACCAGCCACCTATTTACATCTGCTGGGTTAACCAATCCCTGATAATTTCTAGTTATACATTATATTTTGTTCTTAAATTATTTGTCAGTAATTTAATAACTTGACATTTTATTTCTTATAAGTACATAATTAGCCAGCCAGTAAAATATTTTTAATATTGCAGTTAATTATTTGTTTCTTATTTATTTATTTAGTTAAAGGCTTTAATAAATGTAATATATTAAATTTTTAAAATATATGCTTTAAATTTTGTCTTAAGTAAAGCTATAACAAAAACCAATTTATCTATATAAATATCATTATTCATTTGTGATATGAATTTTATTCTTACCAGGACAAATCAAAATTTTATATTATTATGAAAGCATAGAAATAAGATGTTAAAATTTCATGATTCTGTATTGGATGGAAAAATACTTTTATACTATACTTTCAACGTATCCCCTCCCTCTTCCTTTATTTCTATCATACTTGGTCATACAAGTTTTAATTATGTAAAGTAATTTTATTTCTTTGTATCCATGTGTTTACAGATTTGGTGAAAACAAAGGATCTTTTTGTACTTTAGCATCGTTCAGTGATAAAGAAAGTATTGGTAGCAGTAGTGGTAGTGAGGATTCACTGAGTGAAGATTCTCTTAAGGAAAGTCCTTCTCCTCTTTCTACTCCTGTCAAGCAATCCAATCAGGTATTTTATAATTTTTATTCACTCAGTATGTTTCAATAATAATTTTATTTATTCATAGTGATAATTTTAAAATTATTATTTAGAAATAGTATTAATATTATTAATTATTTTAACTTCGGAGTTATATAGTAGGCATGACCTTATGTTTTAGTTGTGCATGTGTTTCTAAATGAGGAAACCTATATTTCTCTAAAGAGGTTTTCTCTTCCTCCCCCAGTAGGTATCCCCTTCCCACTCTTACTGTCTCTAATATTTTGAATTAATATACATATGTTGCTTGTTCTCATATATATGAGTAATCTATCTAATTCATGCTTCTAGTTTCATTTAAATATTTCTTAGGCCTTTGCAATTAATTTGTTATGGTTTAATTCTTAGGAAATTTATTTGATTTACAAATAGTTAAATTATTGTGATTAAAATATAGTTAATTTAAGCTTTTCTCAAATAATCTATGAATTATTTATTTTTGCTGTGTTGATTAAATCTTAGTTAGGAAGGATATTAAATTACTAAACTCATCAAATAAGTTTATTATTATTTCTTGTTCATTTTTTCTCCCAGATTACCATAAAGTTTTTTTAAATGTTTCCAATACTCTCTTAGAACAGGTAATTTTTTTTTCTCATTTTATTCAGTGTCACAACTTGAAGGGCTGTTCGTTTTTAATTAAAATTGTGTTTTATTTTTATTGCCAATGAATCTTAAGCTGTAACTAACTACCTACTATATGTAGGACCAGTAATTACTGCTATAAATTATCACTAAACTAAGATAGATAGCTATCCAAAAATTTTCTTTCTTCTATTAAGAATTGAATTGTAGTCTTATCCAACTAAGGTAAAATCCAGTTGTAAGTTTTGTTAATTGTTATGGTTAAACAATGTTGAAACAAATATTTTATAAAGTATATATTATATAAGCCTTTCAGTTGACAAACTAACTCACATTCCAACATTTTTTATTATTAATTTTAGTAATATGTTCTATTGAGAAAATTTATACCTTTATTCACAGTACTATATTTCAACACTGCAATTAACTACTATAGAATCAACTTTCTCACTGTCTGTACAGTTATTATAAATTTTCCAATTAGAAATATTACTGAAATGACTTTACTCCAAAATTTTGAACTTCGAGTTAGTCATTGTGTCAACTGAAAGGCTTATATAGTGTCCCAGAATAAAGTTATTTTCTATCTATCTATATATTCTGATTAGTCATAACTTAAATTTATTAATAAAAATTGTTTTATTGTTAAATATGACTTTATAATCATTAATATCACTCTATTAAGTTAGGATAACCATTAATAATTTAGTTTTTTAATATTTACAGTGCAACTATGGTAATGTTTTGTGATAATTTTATTTTCATTTATTTTAATATTTTATTTGTTCTTTGAAAACAATTGTTTACTGCAGAGGTTGGGTTGTTAATATTTTTCAGTTTTATATTTAATCTAGTTGTGCTTCAGTTATAAATGTTGCTAGTTAATGTTATTTATATTTGAAAATTAGATATATCTTGGCATTATAGTTATTCCTGCATGATTTTATGGCTTACCTTATTTGCTTGAATATATATATATATATATATATATATATATATATATATATATAGATTTAGGAAAAACTTTTATTTTAACTAATACATTAAGTAATTCTTATTTATTAAACTTCGTAAATAGTTTCATCTCATCGTAACCTACAACTATTTTATTTAAAAATACTCTTGGAATTGGGACGTTTTCAATCTGGAGGGAGACAAACTTAGTCTATTTAATTAAGTACTAAAAACTCTTTAATACCCTTTTGCTTTCTATTTAGATCTTAAGATAATTTGATCACAAAATTGATAAAAAAAAAGTGGCCTTCAAAAATATGGAGCCGTTTGGCGTGAACTACACCCCCAAATTCTCAAAATAACTAGTTTATTACTACAAATGGCCTAATAGTTTTGTAGTCCACCTTTTTTGTCGATTTTGTGATCAAATTGTTACGATCCAAGTAGAAAGGAAATGGGTATTTACGAGTTTTTAGTACCTAATTAAATAAACTAAGTTTGCCCCCCTCCAGATTGAAAATGCCCCAATTCCAAGAGTTTTCGTAAATAAAATAGTTGTAGGTTACGATGAGATGAAACTATTCACAAAGTTTCAGGTGGATGTTAATAGTTCGATAAACAGGGGTCTGAACTATCGACTATTTTATTGAATTGAAATTATTTTCTAAATTTTTATACTTACATTATATTTATTTAAGTTAGTTTTACACTTTGTGGCTCTTGCTTCTCTCTGTTTTATTTTTCTTCAAAAAGCATGTCACTTTTAGAAGTTTAGTGTTGAATCTTTTAGTGGGGCTGTCATTATTTATACTAATATTAAATTTTGAGTGAAAATAAACTTAACAAGTTCATATTAATGTCAATATGTCTGAGAAAGAAAACTTAAATACATTCTACATTATTACTAGCAGAATGTCTGATAGATTTCACAATATTAATTAACTTATATGACAAGGATTATTATTTCCCCAAGACTTGTGGAGGATTAAGATGTGACAAAAGAAGTTTACATTTTGTGAGTAACAATTACAAGATAAGTGCACTGAGATGTTGAACAGACAGTTCGTCAACAGTGAAGGAGAAAAAAATCAATGAAAAGATTAACATAATAAGGAATTTCATGAATCATTACCAGAATGGACATGTCACATTTTAATCAAACAAGCACCTTGCAAAGATATATGCACTATGATTCGTTATAAAGTTCAATGAATATCTTATTTCATATATTTTCCTTTGAATACCTTATTAGGTTTGAGCCACACCATAGTATTTGTGGGATACGTACAAATACACCCCAAAAAGCTTAGTTGTATTTAATCAGCTACAGATGATTCTAAGGTTGAGTTTGAGGAATTTAATTCTAGAAGTGGTTATAATTCACCTGAACAAATTTACAGTATAGGTGAGTTAAGGATTTAATTGCAAATGTTTACCATCAATTTATTCATTCACCATGAATCAAAACACTAAGCAGAAACTAAAAAAAAAACACGATTTAAAGTTAATGTGATCAATTATGAACCTGAAGAAGAAAAAAAAATAAATCCACTGCTGAAAAAAATTTATCACTTCATAATTCTAGTGACTGATTCAAACCAGCTCCTTTTGATGGATGATGGATTGAAAAAAATCCTTAGTAAAAAGAACAATTTCTTAGCAAACTGAATTACTAAGCATTGTGATCTATAGAGCATAACTTGTTAGGAGGCGAATCAATCATTTATATGATGGACAAAGAGTGGCTTATTAGATAGTTAACCAATATAGAACAGATATGTGAATATTTTAAGGCATTGTTAGGAGGACTATGCTACTGCTGATATTTTTTATTTGGATGTAGACGGTATCCAGAAGAGGGTGGTACGTAGGCAGCAATCGATCATGTTAAACATTGTTATTATGACAAATTTAATTACAATCCATAATAGTATTGTTTTCTCCCAAATTAATGATGTTACTTCTGAGATAAAAACTATAAATTAAATAATGATGTAGAGATGGTTGACCGTTGATATAATATGAGAAGGAGTTAATCAGGGGGTGCGGTCAAATAAATACTAAATTAAAATATATTAATCATTTTAATTTTTGCCAACTTTTTGACCCACCCACTTTGCAGGTCGTCTTCAGGGCGTGGGATGTATCACTGCGGGAGGCAGTTGAAACAAACAATGAGTGTTTCAACTGCCTCCCGCAGTGCTACATCCCACGCCCTGAAGACGACCTGCAAAGTGGGTGGGTCAAAAAGTTGGCAAAAATTACAATAATTAATATATTTTAATTTAGTATTTATTTGACCGCACTCCCCGATGAACTCCTTCTCATATAAATTAAATAATTGTTTGTTTCCTATAATTTCTCAGGACATCACTAATAATTATATTCTAGATGTTGAAACTAATATTCTTGGATGGCCTTCTTTTGTAATTTTAAAAATCATTCTTCCAATTGACTGTTTCTGGATGTATCAATATTTGTTTTATTTTTCCAGTATTTTGAGACATTGTGCATGATTTCTTCTATGTTCAATTTTGTATAATTTGCTTTCGATTTCATTTATTTCAACAGATTGTAGTTCCCAATTAAAAAAAAATTCTATTTGTATTTATTTGGTTACTCCATTATTTATTTTTATTTTCTGATTTATTGTTGATAGGTAAAAGAGCTGTCACGAGTCATTGTGAAAAACATGGCACCTATGAATTTTACAGAATGGCAGAATAATCAATGTTTGTTTTTAAATTTTTTTTATTTTTTTATTTTGTGCATGGCCTCATAGTAGATCCAAATTTTTGTATTATTCTGTTAGTTGTGTAATGATTAAATATATTTAAATTTATTAATTTTTTTAATATTTTCGTTTTTATTTGTAAAATTCATATTTAATTAATTATAAACTAAAAGGACACGAGTTTTGATAGTTCTTTTAGAATCTGTATAGCCCAAACATTTAGAGCTATTTTATAAACAAACTATACTGCGAGGTGTAGCTATTGAATAACAAGACAGGTTACAAAATATTTTATTTTGATTTCATATGTACCTTTATATCACCTTGAGTATGGGTTCTTTCTGATAAAATATTTTATTTTAATTTCATATGTATTTACCTTTATATCACCCTCAGTAGAGATCCCTCCTCTGTCCCAACTACACTCCATAGGAATCTTTCATTGTCTGAAGCAGTGTTGGAAGTCTTCTGTTAGCTCCTTTCCTATGTGTGCTATTTTCTATTTTATAGCTTCAACGAAATCAAAATTTGTTCCTTTTAATGCAGATTGACATATTATGATTTATTTAATTATGATCTTGCAACGAAGTGTCAATCTATTCACAGAAGAGCCCTACTTCAACGAAAAGAAAAAAGCTTGAATAGGCAAATCAAAATTTGAAGCAATGATTATTTTTTTCGATATACATGGAATGGTGCACCTTCCCTGGTTTCTTCCTGATGGTCAAACTATTAATCAACATTACTGCCTTCACATTCTTGTTAAAAGAAAAAGCATCACGCTTCCTGAAGGATCTAGCAGAAGAAGTCTTTTCCAATGCTGTTTCAGAGCATGGAAGATTCTCATGGATCATGCAGGGATAGAGGAGGGGTGTATATCTCTGGTCTGTGGCCATAAAAACTAGTAAAGTTGACTTATCCTCATGTTGCTTTAAGTTAATCATTCTTTAACTTGGCAATCATTACAATTGGCTTTGAAATGGCTGACAAAATTCATTTTACTAAGTATAGTGTAGCTTACAATAAAAAAAAAAGTATTTCACATTCAAATGGTCTCCTGTTTTGTCCTAACAGCTGCTTTGTACCCCATTGTGACCTTGTCTCCAGCCTGTTAAAATAACAATTCAGGCTAGCTATAATTATTGTTTTTAGGAATTATTATTTGGTTATCTGGGATACCAGCTAAAACTTGTTTGTTGTCTTATCTGACCCATTAATATTTATTTTTCAATATTTACATTTACATTCCTTTCAGATAGTTGTTTTACGTTTACCACTTTTAGTGCCAAGATTACTAAAAATAATTCAGATTTATATATATTGGATCCTAATTTTAATCTATCCTAAGCTTGCGAATTTCTTTTCTTAAAGGAGATAAGCTATTTCTTATTTTTATTTGAAATAGAGACAATGTCTACAAAGGCCAACCAATTAAGACAAGTTTAATTTTTATTATAAATGTGTATTCATAATGATGCACTTTTCGTTTTAGTCTTCTGTCAGCACTTTTAGGATTAAATTTATTTTTACTATAATTAAACCATATGATTTAGGAATAAACGTGAAATTGAGTTGTACATCCAGAGGTCATTTCCAGTATTGCAAGATCTTTTAATTTTTTTTTTTTTTTTTTTTTGTCTATTAGTGGATCATATTTCCTTCATAATTACTGTTGTAAAATAAAATAAGTCTGTCAAGAAATGTTTGATAGAGATGTAGATTTACCTCCCTTCAGAGATACCACTGGATACTCTGCTCTAGGATATTATTATTTACTCTGTCTTCTATCCTATGTAATATTTTATTTGCTGCTTACTTCTTATTCTGTTATCTGGAGCACTTTTTCTTCTAGGCCAGGCATGGAATAAAAAAGAATTGTGACATAACAAAGTTGTGGATGCAGATTTTCTCCGATACTACTGGCATAATTTTTTTTTTTGGAATAGGCACCACAAGTCATTCCTTGATAAACCAAGGAATTGGTCAATAATATCTGCCAAAAATACAAAAGGGCGGCTGATTTGACTTTACAAATAAAATCAATTAATAAACCACATTTCTAACTGTAAAATTATTATACATTAAATTAACACGTCACATTATTCAGAACGTGAATAATCATTTTGGGCGACCGACCTGGAAAAATAGGAAAAGTCAGAGAATTTTTTAGTGTGCAAATATTTTTACTTTCACTTATCTATATTTGTGATATTTTGTAAGGGAAAGTATTGCGATCGTGGAAAATTTTTAATCTGAGTTTTCAACAGAAATACACATTTGGAGGTCCCTTGAGCCCAAATAACTAAGCTCCGAAACAGTTCATTGTGTGTGTGCGTATGTGAACAACTCAAAAACGAAAACTCGTACTAAACTATTATAATCTATTTAAGATAGGTATATACTTGGGATATTACAGCATCTTTTCCCTTAAAATCGGCTTACCGGAAATGCAACTTTATATCATCGATTTTACGCATTTTCTCAAAAACGGCTCTTACTATTCTGATCAAACTTGGGGTTTCATTTTATAATTATGTGGTCTTTGATATCATTTAGGTCTTACCCTATTAATGTCACTTTACATGGCTCAAATGCCCAATATTCAACATTCCTTCCTCTAAAGGACCTTAAATTTGGTTTGTTTTAAATAATTAATTATCTCTCATTATTAGGAGTTTCAAAAAAATGTTAAATATAACTTTTGAAAGAATTTGATAATTGAAAAATGTAGATAAAAGGGAAAATGTTCATTTAGGTCGAAAATGGATCTCCGGAAATAATAGTCAGAAAGGTATACCTATAACATATTGTTGAAAAGCAGAGAATTTTTGAAAAAACGATATCTAATGTAGAAAGGCGTAGAAGGTAATGGAGAGTGATGAAAAATTATAAATACAAATTTCTGAAAACTAATATTATTTAACGGAAATCACATGTTTTCAAGAAAATTAAATGAAATTTACTTACTAAATGTAAACTTGAATTTTTTTTTTTAAGTTTGAAAAAGTATTTAAAATTCAAACAATCAAGGCAATGACATTTCTAAAAAAACTATTTCATTGTACTTGTGTGAAATATAAAAATATTTCATGGATTTGTAAAACATATGTTTATAACCTTAAATACATTTACTGTAGTTTAATATTTTTAGACCTGATATTATATTTGAATAATTAGGTGTCAATGTCTGTTTATTCTGAAAAATCGTCCTGTAACCTTTTAGGAAATTAAATTAGTGAGTAATTTGATGAATTTTCCTTTTGCGAAATCCCAACATTATCCACTTACAATTAGAGTGACAATTTTTGACCTAACTATGGCAGGCATTGAAAATTTAGTAATTTCGTTTTAGTAAATTTACAATGGAAAATGACAGTTTAATAATTAATAGGCGTACGTATTTAACGTACGTTTATCATTTATAGATTGAATATACAGATATGCTTTTTAATCTCTCTAGAAATGTAAGCTTAGATTTATGTGGTTTACAAAAACAGTATGTTAATAGTATTAATGATTTGTTAGCTGTAATCCAGAAAATAATTTCTAATTGGAAATAAATCTACAGTGGATATTGTATATATATATATATATATATATATATATATATATATATTTATGGATACAAAAAAATACGTTGTTCATTTAAAAGTACCTAAGTGACAAATTAAGACATTACAACCAAACAAGAGCATGTATGAATGAAATAATTTTTCAAAACCAGTTAAAAAAATCCTATTCTTTAGGTTCGAGAGTATCTGAGCTAGGAAAAATCAGCTGATAGACAAATCATTGCAGTTAGTTGTTGTTAGTTGATAGACTAATAGGTGTAACAAAGAAGATTTGTTAGTCTAACTTTCCTGGTGCGCAAGAGTAACCACTGTAACAATTGTTAATAATGAGTCTGAAATAAACCCACTACTGGGCAATGAAGAAGTCAGCAATTGCCTCTCCTTTTATCAATCTTCCTTTATTTAGAGCAAGACAATAATGTGTTACTGGCTGACAGACTTCTTGTGTTTGTCCTGAATTCTATTGCAGATTAAATTAATTTAATTTTTGTAACATAAAAACAAATAAGCAATTAATTATTTTCAAAATTTATTATTTTACAAGCAATCAAATATTTAATTTACGCTTCTTCTTCCTCTTCTGCCTATATCAACCTGAACTAGTCCTCTCGATTTTGTGCCAACCATCAAATTTATTTTAAGCAGTTTAATAATTGTTCCTATCATAAGTTAATTTATAGATTTTATTACGGTGTAACATATCGAAGTCTTTTACTAGTTCCTAAACTTTTTTTTTACATGAAGATTATTATCAAACTTTTATTATCCAAATAATTATTTCACTCATTTCCATTGATAATATGGAATTGACTGGATCTATCATTTATAATCATTAAACATTATTCTCTTAAGTCACATTACTGTAACAACTACAACCTGGTTAACTGTGAAATAAGTGTTTCTGTAATCAAAGCTTGTGCATTTAACTTTAAAAGATATATTCCACAAAACACAAAGTCTCATTTAACCTGATTAGAAGAGCTATTATGGCAATATTTGTCAAGGCCTCTAAGGCACTATTAGACTTAAGGGCCTATAAGAGGAACCATTTCAGTTCTAGAGTTGTGTGAAAAGAGAACTCAAGGGTTTTCCCAGTGATGAAACTGGATCTAACACACAGATGAATATTTATTTTCTCTGTTGTTATCTTATTTCTTTCTTTTTTTGATTTACTGTTAAATAAGCATGCTATATTAATATGTATTAAGATTGGCTTTTATTTTTTTACTATTTAAATTAATTTATGTTTATTTAATTTATTTATTTATTTTTTTAAAGGGTCCAACAGAAATAAAAACAAGGAGAAACAGCCAGCAGCATCAGATGCAGCATGGTGGTCGGGGGCGGAGAGGAAGCCTATACCCGCAACACCCCCTCAATGCTTGGTACAGCCTCATTTCACCACCGTGGCTCCCCCCTTCTCCCCCTCCTTATACCCATCCAGCCTATCGCCATAAATGGCCACCTCACCGGTACAGCTCTCCTCCTAAGCCCGCAACGCTCAAGGTTTAATGATCAGTCGGTTTAATAAAAGTGGCAGACACAGGAATTCGTACGTTGGACTTCTCATCTGTTAAAAAAAAAATGAAAGGTTAATTAGGAATTTTATCTCACATTCTCCTCCTTGATCAGAAATATTGAGCATAAAATTCATTTTCTATCTTGTGTTTTGTTAATAATTATTTAAGGGTGTGAATTATAAACTTTTGTTTGGGTATACATTTTAAGATCATCTGAAGTTTCCTTTTTTTATTGTAACATTTTACCCATTCAACTAATTTTTTAAAAAATAAAGATTTTTCATAATATTTCACATCCATTTTTTAATACAAAAGAATTTACCAAACATTTCCAGTCAATTTAATATTAAATTTCGAAATAAAAATTTTATTTTCATATGGAATTTTTAAGAAATTGAAATTTTCATAATTTGTTACTATAAATTTGTAATATATTACTTTTTTCAAACTATATTTTTTTAATGACGACATTTTTAAAAATTGTAAATAGGATTTGCAATTTGACTGGCTAGCCATAGGGATTATTTTAGATATTTTTTGTATATTGCCACAATAAAAAAAATTAAAAAAAAAACATTTCTAATCAAAATATAACCATTACTCATTAAACAAATTTTAATGAATACGATGTATGCTCTTCCATCTATTAAATAAATAGGTTAATTATACAATGGTTATGTTAATTTATATTGAATATTGGCATTTATTTAATTTAATTAATTAAATTTGAAAGTACAAGAACAATTATTTAGGTCTGTAAATATTGTAAAACATTGTGATATGAAATATTTTGTATATTACTCTTTACTTTATTGTCTATATATGATTATACTGGTATAAATACATTCATTTACATTCTATTATTTATAAGAATCATTGTATATTTCACCCAACATAAACACGAAGCGTCATTTGTACCATTGACATAATTTTAGTTTTAAAAATGAATAAAGACTTTTTAGTAGTTAATAACTATTAAACTTTAGTTTTGATATTTCTAATATTTTTAGTGTTGAAATATTATTAGATAATTTTCAAGTCAATCGTATTTACCATTGTTAAAAAAAAAAAGTGTTTTTTGGGTGAATAATGTACTTAAGGTCAAATGTGAAAATGTTGCTTTGTTGTCCTGATTGTTTAGTGCAATTGATCTCTGATGTTCCTTATAGTGGATTTCTTATTTACTTTCCAGTCTGTAAATTATATATATATTGTATTGAAGGAATTCCTCCATAACAGTGCCTGTTTAGGTGTAAGTGGATGTGCATGCATTGAATGCTAGTGTGGTACCTAATTTTAAAATTTTATTAATGCTGGAAATGGTTATTCTTTCGACTGTGATGAACATCAATTTTCATTTCGTGAGCATTTTGTGATATTAGTATTTCTATTTGGGTTTTGAACCCCTTTACCAGTTATGGCCTTTCCTTGTCGCTTACCAAAGTTGCAATTTATTTCTGTACAACAAGGAGAATAAGTTTTTGTTAAAAATCAGATTAAGTATAGAAAGCAAAATATATGATATATTTACAAATTTATATTGATACATATACATGTATATGTATGTATAAGTTTAAAAATATATTTAATTTTTCTGATTTTTTTTTCAACTTTTTTTTCTGTATATATGAAAGTATTGGTATATTTTTTCATTGAACGATTATATATTGGAGTTATGAGGCTTTTATATATATTATTATTATTATTTTTTTTTTTTTAGTAAAAACTCCAGCAAACCTAGACTTGACTTAATAAACAATTTAAGAAATTGTTCTGTAACAATGTTTATTATTTAAGATCTTTCCTCTCTATTGTTTTTAACATGCTTGATAATGTGTAATATTTTCATCCTTATGTGTATATTTGTAAAGAAATATTAAATCTGTCTAATGATTTTTTTTATGGTGCCTTTTGATGAAAAAAAATTTTTTGTTCCTCCTGGGTTTTAGAAGTCTTTAATAATTTTTTTTTATTCCAATTTTTTTTGTTTTTCTTCTATAAATATATATTTCTTCTATATTAAGATGAATTATTAACATAGATATGTAGTTTTCATTTGTTCTATATTATATAAAGTTATAGACATATATATATATATAAATTTTGTATTCTTATTTTAGTAAGAATAATTTGGTATATGTATTTCTAATTGAACCATAGTGTCACGATGTATGTGTATATGTTTGATTTTAAATTAAGAATTAAATTCATTAAATTTTTTACTTTTATTATTGAAATTCTAATTTTTTTATGTAGTTGAAAGACTCTGCGATGATCACGTCAGCTTACATAGTCAAATGTTTATCAAATTTTATTCATTAAAGATAATTTCCTTATCGTCTAGTGGCCTCAGATTTTAAATGTACATATTGCTGTCTTCAATCTGAATACTGTCTTTATTTATGTGTGTTTATTATTGCATCAAATTTAAGAATTTCAATTTTTTTAACTTGGTTGATTGTTTTGGCTGCTGATAAGCATTTATGGAACTAATAATAATGGTAAATTTCTGCTGTTCAAAAATATTAACTAATGATGAACTAATATTAACTGTTTATGTATCATATATGCTGTAAACAAGTTTTTACAAAGTCATTATTTAACTTGTAACATGTATTAAAAGCCTTTTTGAACTCCTACCCTTATCAAAAAATCAAATTATATTTGACTGACAAGGAAGATTGAAGACATCAATTTGTTTTTAGACTAAACTTAACATATTATATTTGCTCTTAAGCATTCAAAATTGGATCATATTATATTTATTACATTTTCATTTCAGCTCATAATTTTAGTGTTGTTAATATATTTAACTTATTCTACAATGTCATCTTATCATGAATAGTTCAGAAAATTAACCTGACACTCTTCTGTAAATAAAAACTAACGGCTGAAATAATTATTGATATTAAAATGTTACACTCGTGTTACAATGAAGTCTTATATATTTTTGATTTTTCGGTGTAATTAAAAAAAAAAAATGCATGTATATATATACATATATATATTTTAAATGTTGTAATTCATCTTATAATGTTGTGGTTGTCGTAGGAGCTTTACATAATATTCCTTTTTAAATTCGGAGTAGAACACAACTGTTTTTATCACAGGGTCCATTTACCAAAAGCTAAATAAGTTTTCAAATTATTGTAAAAAGTTGTAGGTTATGTTGTAGTTAGAAAAGTTTATATATTATATTTCAATTTTATTGTATTTATAAATTCTGTAGTAAATCTGTTTCTATTATTGTTGAGGAATTATGCGTATGAATACTGTATAAAGCTGGTCCTTTGATTTTGAGCACAGCTAAAAACAAAAATAAAAGAGTGTCAAATTCAACTATGATCTTATGTAATGGTATTGTATATAAATAATATTGTGATCTCCATGAATGCATGATGAAAAAAAAAAATGTTTAAACATATGTATTTGTATTTTTGTTTTCTTTTTTACCTTTTTTTAAATACTTTTTCAAGAAACATTAAGTATTTCTTGTATCTCTTTAGATTGTATTGTTATTTGTGGAGATAACATCCTATTTTTGTTTATATTGGGTAATTAAAAATATGGGAGAGTAGAAATTTATAGTCATACCATATATATTTTTAATTACGTTACTGCCTAGATCCAGCTTTAACACCTTATTGAGTAGATTAATAAACACTTAGTTTTGCATCATTTATGGTATTTTTTCTTTCCCTTACTGGCTTATAATTGAATAAAATGAAACATGTAGATATATTAAATACCACAGGCTTACACGGCTATAATGTAGTATTATTTTATCATAATGTAAAAATTAGAATACTATGAATGGATTAGTTTTTCAACAGTAAATTGTCATATTAAGTATATCCCTGTAATGTTACAGGAACTTTTTCCTTAAAATCGCCTTACCCGAAGTGCCACTTCTTAAAATACACATTTTACAATTTTCTCAAAAAGACTAACGATTTTGATTAAACTCTATATCCATGTACAATTAAATGTTCTTTAATATAAGATAGATCTTATCCACATTGATGTCACTTAATAAAGCTTAAATGCCCAAATTTCATCCTCTCAAGTACCTTTAATTTGGTTTATTTTAAATAATTAACTATTTCTCATTCTTTGCAGTAATAAAAAAGGCTACATATAATCTTTATAAAAATTTATTAATGGCATAAAGGAGAAAAATATTTGATTAGGTCGAAAATCAATCTCCAGAAAAAAGTATAGAATAATATATCATTGAAAAGCAGGAATTTTTTTAGAAAAAATCAATATCAACATAAAAAAGATGCAGAAGGTAATAGGGAGGGAAGAAAAAGTTATAAATAATAATTTATATTGTTTAACGGAAACCATATGTTTCCAAGGAAATTAAATGAAATTTTCTTGATTTCATTGCCTTCAACGGTGAACTCTAACAATCTGGTCTAATTTTGATAAGATATTGAAGTCAGGTTAGATCTCCAGAACAATACCAGCCCATAGTATTTTTTGTCACTGTATGATGGGTCAAAGAAGCTAACTGCTAACCAATTAGGGATGCAGGATTTAATTTTTAGGATAGGGGCTTCAGCCCTAAAACTTTTATCATATATATATATATATATATATATACATAAAACATATGCACAATTTTATTTGTATGTATCTTTTTTTTCAAAGTAATTATTGTTTTATATATATATATATTATGCCCCTATCCTAAAATATATATATATAAAACAATAATGCGAGTCCTGGACGCAGACTGGCAACGACAAAAGGTTCTTAAACACGTGGGAAAGAAAAATCCTCAGAAAGATCTTTGGCCCTACATAAAAAGGAGATTGCTGGTGGACGAAGAAAAGCGAGGAAATTAAAAAATTTATTGAAACATCAGATGTTCCAGGATAAGATGGCTGGGGCACATACAAGGAATAGAAACTGGTAGACAACTAAAAATGATGATAGCCGCAGACTTTTGAATTTCGTTAGGGAGCTTATTAAGCTAAAAAAAAAAAATGTGACTTTTTTTCTAAAAATTGAACACAATTTGTTTATATGTTTCTTTAGTTATATGACATTTTTTTTGTTTTACTTATTATATACAGGGTGTTTCGTAATTGCACGGCATTATTTTAGGTATGTGTTTACTAACAAAAAAGTTCATATTGACATATATCTCAAACTCATTTATTAAACAGATATCAAAGGTTAAAGATTTCTTATATATTTACTACATTAAGACTGACTGTACAAAGTTTTAACTTGTTTAATACTAAATAACAGGTTTTAATCATCTAACAAATGAACGTATTTTGGTGTGAGTGAATACTGTGACACAGTTCAATTTATGATTATCATGGGAGACACCATAAATTTATTCACTCTTACAGAACAGATTGACATGCTTTTGAACAGATGACAAGGTACATAGAAATGGTACCTCCGATGTTCGAAGATATCGTGAAAAAATTTCTAACCGAAGAATATCAAATCGTAGAACGTTTGAGGCAATTGAAAGACGCCTTAGGGATAATGGCATGCTTAAACCTAAACGAGTAAACTCCAGTCAACAAAGATTTCGACGAACTGCAAACGTTGAAGAAGAAATACTCGATGCTGTTCAGTTATCTCCTACTACTAGTTCCAGAAGATTGTCACGTCGTTTCGATGTCTCCTCTACCAGCGTATGGCGAACTTTACGCGAGGAACAATTGTATCCATTTCAGATATCGACTATCCAAGATTTGTTACCACAAGATTATAAAAAGCGCAGAAATTTCTCCCAGTGGTTAATTCGACAATGCACACGAGATCCTAACTTCCTGAACTGCATTTTAGTTACTGATGAATCTTGCTTTACAAGAAACGGGATTGTAAATACCCATTTTATCATAGAGGTGATTGAATCATAAAATCCTAATATATGCAGGGTGTCCCGTAAGCGGAAGCAAATATTTTAACACGTAATAGTTGACCTCAAGAGCTATAAAAAAAAGTTCATATAAACAATGGTCCGATTTTCGGCAGAATAGTAGGAAATTTAAGTATCTTGTAATTTAAGTAAGTCATGTTTTTTTTTTTATAAATAGGAAGTAATAACTAAAACATAATTTAATATAATTAATTATAAAATTATCCACTGTAAACTAGACAAAATTTACTTCAAACGAAAGTGGAGTTAGTCTTTGTTAAAACCATTTAAAGTGGACTTTTGAACGAATACACCAAGCTAACTTAGGTTTTTAAGAAATAATGAAATACTTGTGCTTTTTGTTTTTCACATTCCAACTATAGCTACTACAATCCACTTTTAGAAGAAAAAAAATTATTTAGTAAGCTTTAAGTCCATATTAATTAAACTGGATGCTTATTGGAATATAAGTTGAAATCCACCTTAAGCTGTGTAAAAAAATGATGTGTTTTGATATTCATGTAAAAATCAACGAAACTATACAGAAAAACTTACTTTTCTCAATTTTCGATATTACACAGCTCTTAATCTGTGTATAAGACAACATAAATGTGTACACATTACGGGCGGATCGACGAGGGAGAGGGATGGCTTTCTAGCTGAAGCCACCCCCCCAAAATGGTAAAATATAAACATGTTTTATGGAAAAAAATATTAACAAATTATCTCTTAAAGTATCATTGTTCGTGTAATTACATTTAAAAGTACTTAAGGAATCACTTAAACACCATTTCATGTAGATAGTTAGTTTCTTTCTTTTTTTCCAAAGTAATTATCGTCATTTTTAAGAAAAAAAAAGCTTTCGGGCTGAAGCGTCCCCCCCAAAAAAAAATTAAATCCTGGATCCGCTAGTGGTACACATTGACTTACATAATATACATACATATATATAATATATATATTATATATATATATATACTGTTTTATATACAGATTAAGACCTGCATAATAACGAAAAGTAAGTTCTGTATAGTTACGGTGTTTAATCAGTAAATTATAATTGTTCTTGCTTTTTAATGGTTGAAGATAAGATAGTAAAATAATATATATTCTTAAAGAAAATTTGATATTAGACAACTTTCTTCCTCGTGACTTTTTCGTTAAATGAAAAAATAAAGAGTTGGCGAGTCAAATAAAGATAAAAATGCGATTCAAAACATTCTTTTTCTCCACATTAGTGAATTATGAGGACGGATATTACGTAAACTATGGAATATAGCGAAAGAACTAGTATAATCATTTCTATTGACAATGTTGCTAGCTTTAATTTTACATGTGACATAATTATATACAGAATGCATAGTTTCACTGATATAAGCGAAAAACCGAAAAAAGTAAACTTTTTGAATCGTAAAGAGTGTGGGGTAACTGACTATTATTTCAATACTATAAATCGAAATTGGCTGATTGTAAATATTGTAATTAAGTATGAATGTTTTTCTTTTTTTTATCTATTTTATTTGTTTTACTTATAATTTATTTAATTTGCTAAGAATTTCTGTATTTTTTTTAAAATTTGATTTCAAGTTGCATTTCTTTGGTTTAATAGTTTTTGCCTTTGTTATATAGATATATATATATTTTTTTATTGTATTGTATATATAGTATGAATGTGCCTCACTCAGATATAGTACTCAGTGCCCTTAATTGTGGAAAAATGTATTATTTCTCAATAAAAAAAATTGTTTCGGCACTTTAAAAGAAATTCTTATGAACTATACGTTAAATTTATTATTAAAACTACTATAAATTTAATAATTATATTATATGCTTATGTTACTAGATATAAAACGTTCGACGTACCTACATAGTCAATAACAAAAAGTGTTCTGTATGCGCAACATATATGAAGGACGTGTACAAAAATAACAAATTTGAGTTCAAAGACCTTCTTCACCTTGAGAAGTAAAATTCGTACTACATTATCTATAATTACGCGATGTTTTAAAAAGATTAACAACCTTTTGATTTTCGCCATGACTTGGATCCAAAAAGTACCTTTTTAAAAGTTAATGTTTTGACAATGAATTATATAATTCCATTGAAAAAATAATAATAAAAGAACAGCTTCGACTTTATTGTTAAACACTTGCTTGTGAGTGTTTCTACAGCCTTTTTTGTAAGGGTTTGTGTCGCAAAAATCGTTTACTAAAACGTTTTTAAACCACCTTTCCACCACGAACTACTGAACTGAATTTGTTCGATATTTAAATTATTTTCAGTTAAGCAGGAAATAATAATTGGTCTGAAGTTTGTTTTAAAAAAATTTTCTAAAATTCTTAATCCGATGAAAACATTTTTAAACATCAATTTCTCTAGTCACATTGAGACAAAACTGAAACCAGCATCCCGGTCGATGGCGCATGAAATTCCTCTGCTTCTCCCAAGGTATTTTATTTCTCTCGTCTTAAAAATAGTGCAAGCTAAAGTAGAAGTTTAAAAATAATAGATCATATACAAGGAGACTTTCAGAGGTCTGTTTTTTTTCTTTTGTCTTGTTCCCTGGTTGGTAACTTTTCATTTCGAAAATTCATAACCCCGTCGTGAAGTGCCCCCTCGAAAAACCAAAATCCCGTAAAAATGAAATCATGGAATCCCTTTCTGGGTATCCCTGAGTGAAGCTACTGGGTTAACTATGTGGATTTTATTCTATTAATTCATTATAGAAGTAGAATTGTTTAGGTCAAATTGCCTAATCAACCTCCACTTAATTAAAATAGACTCAAA